CTTGTAATGGTTGCTAGTACAAATAACATTTATCTGTCAGACCAGTAGTTTTTAATAATATTACTGCATAACAGATGCTACAAACATAAACAGCGCCACTGTTGTAGTAAACAATGCTGTTTTTTATCATTGAAAGTTGATATAGAGGGTATTCAAGAACAAAATGGCCGTCATATAATGACAGTATTGTTCAACTTAATGTGCACAAGTGAATATCCCGACAAATTGCTCTCTTTCAACAGCTACTGTATTGTTTATTACGGGGGTCCAGTGCGGTATGTATGTAGATATGCCCAGGCACGTTATAACTCAGTAGGTAAAATAGACACAGGCTTGATACAAATGTTTCCTATGTCAACCACACAACACAACAACCTTTTAGGGTCAAAATATCAGGGTCACTGCATGTGTTTAATGTAACTACACAGAAAAAATAGGCAGTGCTGTTGGTATTTGTATTTTTGTTGTAAACGTGATATCATTCATTATCACATCTCCATAGTGAAAAATGCCAAGATATACTGGTTTTCACTCTGCTGTTAAAGTCTGTGTCACACGCCAAAACTAATTGCATTAATCACTTTATATCAAACAACATAATTCCATATGCTTATGGTCTTTAACATTAAGTACACAACGGGGACTGTGCATTGCAAAATGTGTGTTGAATGAATGAATCATCAAGTTGTTCTATTTATATTTCTAATGTATTATCAATTGTTTTATTCGGATCCCTTACACAAAAACAAGTACGAAAACGGGGACTATTAATTTGGGTTCGTTCCGTCCGTCCGTTCGTACGTACGTCCGGAGCTTTATCTCGGACACCTATTGACGAATTTCATTCAGATTTTGCATGAAGACAATACATAATGTCTTACATGTGCGCGTCAAGTTACTTTATGGTCGGAGAAAAAGTGACCGACTGGCGGCCATTTTGGATGTAAAATTTGCTATTTCTGATACCTAAACGTGTCCGCAGCAGTTTTTCGGAGATGACTGGACCGATTTGGATCAAAATTGGTATGATGATCATACATATTTGGTTATAGGTGTACGTCATACTTTTTCCGTAATTCAAAAAAATTTCGCCGACTGGCGGCCATTTTGTTTTTCATGCTACCCATGAAACTTTCTTATGAAAGCCATGAACGTTTCTGTTTAAATTTATACCACGAGATACAACTACACCGTCATTATTTTCGTGATTCGGTTCAATATGGCTGATTGACGGCTAAATTTCATGTATCAGTGCTAAATCGTCATTTTTACATGTCCGGAGCTGTTTCTCAGAGATGACTAGGCCGATTTGAGTCAAAGTTGGTATGATGATCATACATATTGGGTTATAGGTGCACTTCATATTTTTTTTTTGTGATTCGAACAAATATGACTGACTGGCGGCCACTTTGTTTTTCATGGTGCCCATGCTACTTTCTCTTGAATACTATGAAGGTTTCTCTTTAAATTGTGTACAAAGATAGTATACCAAGGGATACATGCGCACCAACATTATTTTTGTGAGTCGATTCAATATGGCCGGCCAATGCCCAATTTTCATGTAAAAGTGCTAAATCGTAATTTTTACATGTCCGGAGCTGTTTCTCAGAGATGGCTAGGCCGATTTGGGTCAAAGTTGGTATGATGATCATACATATTTGGTTGTAGTTGCATGTCATATTTTTTCTGTGATTCAATCTAATATGGCTGACTGGTGGCCATTTTGTTTTTCATGATACCCATACTTTCCCATGATTTTTTTTTACAAATCCATCTCCCATTTATGGTTTCAATCCAATCTCAATGACTTCATCAGCATCAAATTGATATGTCAGATCACAAAATTTTGGACATGGACTGTGTCATGACAATGACTTGTTTAACTTAAATTTAATTTTGTGTTTGCAAAATATATTATGTTTGAAATGCCTGTTAATAAATTGTTTCTTATTTATATATATATATATTGGTTATTCTCCATAATAACACGCTTTGAACACTAAGACCACGTGACAAAGACCGTGTCAATCCGGTCACGCTGTGTGTTTTCCATAGCTAACACTGTCTGAAACTTTAGAGTGTTAGTAATATGTACACGTAGGTACGACGGTGACATTCTTTTGACATGAAATCAAGCTGTCACACGACTGAGTTAGCTACTATTGTTTAACACAGAAAGTATATAAAAGGCTTGCATATTTACAATACATCTCGGCGAAAACTGCACAATAAATAGGAGCGCTAATGATTGGTTCGGGGACGAGGTTAAACAGCCTTGGCATAAGCTCATAATCATTGTTATGACTCGTCGAGTATTGGTTCCAGCTCTGACTGGTTTCAATGAGGTGACGCTAAACATGGTAGTCATATATAATGGTGTATATTAACTCCCTTATAGGATTTACAGTGTTTCTACTGGTGTGTAAAACACGAGGTGGGTACCAGCGACTAATATATATATATATATACGTATAGGGTAGATGTAGTTTAAAATATTATATCGATATATGGAGTTGTCGCCGTGTCTCACTCATTCCTGTGTTGCGCTTCTCGCCTGTCGGCAGTAACCAACGATAACATAGCTGTGATGAGTTATCAATTATTTTCATTTGGTAATTATAAATACCGGTATATAGCGTTCTTATTTGTTGTCAACTTCGCAACAAAGCACACACTCACATATAGAGTAATACGTTGCAATGCTGATGCGCGTGACTACTTGTGAAATAACATTTGGTTGTCATGGGTAGATTCAGTATGGAATCAGATATGGCTTCAAGTAAATACGACTAGTATTATATATGACCTTGAACTTGGAGGGATCTGGTTGTGGTTAACGACCTTACATTGTATTGAGTGTATGGAGTTTCAAAGGTATCATAACAAGTTGATTGTTGTAGAACAACCATTGCAAAGTAAGGGTAAGGGTAAGGTAAGGTATAGGAGGGGGAAGTTTTTGTCCGCGGCTTCTGTCGTCGGTTATGTTAGCTCTGGCTTGTTAGTGCAATAAGTCAAACAATATTTATTCAATTGTTTTCATTTTACTATATAAATACTTGGCCAAGTTCAAAGTTTGTGTGTCTAGCTCTTATATTTTTTTCAGATATTGGTAAAAAAAGTAGCTTAAAATGTACATTGGGTCTACATGGGATCAGCGTAAACTGAGAGACCTGGGTTCATTTTTTCCCCTTTTTTTCTGTTATTTAACTGTTTGTAAATAATCCTTTTGTATAAGCAACTGATTCTTCCCTTTTTTGGCATGTTTTGCTTTTTTTAAGAAATTTAGATCAGGACTCTCTATTCAAAGTAGTGCATGGTAGCTTGCAAACCTTTTTATTTATATATTCTGATTTAATATAAATACTTGATTAAGTTCAAAGTTTGTGTGTCTAGCTCAAATATTTTTTGAGATATTGATATTGATTAGTTATACAAGGGATCCAGCAAACCTGAGTTCAATGCCAGGACCCTGTCTCATTTTTCCCCTTATTGTTTCTGTTTTTCACTGTTTGTATTCAATTCATTTGTA